TTCGCTCTGTGCGGTGTTCTGGGTCTCGTAAGGGTCGCCGGCCCTTTTGCGGTTTGCCCCATTGACGGGGTGATGGGGGGGGGGGGGCGGCTTGCACTGTTCGCCCACGCCTGGTCCCACGATTCATGGGCCTTTCGGGTCGTGTCTTGCGGCCTGCGGTGGCGTTGGGTGGCCCCTCAGAGTGGGTACGCTTGGGCGTCGTCGAAACAACGACGTCCCTCAGATGGGTTTCCCTTCTGTTTCCGGTTCCGAAACGGGACTGCGCGGACCTGCGGTTCATTCTGGACTTGTCCTGTCTGAACCCCTGGGTTCATTGCCCCTCCTTTTGGATGACTACGCTGTCTCAGGTTTGGCTCCTCTTGGAGCCGGGCGCTTGGACGGTGTCCCTGGACCTCCAGGACGCTTATTGGCTTGTCCCGATTCATCCACGGTTCAGGGACTGGCTCGGTTTTGTTGTGGGGCGTCTGGGTTACCGCTTTCGTTGTCTCCCGTTCGGGTTGAACCTGGCACCTCGCATGTTCACGCGCCTTACACGGGTTGTGGTGGCTCGTTTGCGTCTCCTAGGTGTTCGGGTGTTGGCCTACCTCGACGACTGGCTGGTTTGGGCTCCCAGCCGGTCAGCTTGCTTGCTAGCCAGGGATTTGATTCTTTCCCAGCTCGCCGGGTTCGGGTTCTTGGTGAACTGGAGGAAGTCCCATCTGGTTCCCTCTCAGGTTCGGACTTGGCTGGGTCTCGTTTGGGACTCTCGAACCGCCTCCTTGTCTCTCCCTCCAGAGTCTCTCCTGCGGCTGCGGTCCCACCTTCGTCTGTTTCTGGAGGGCCCTCGGGTCTCCCAGCGGTTGCTCGAGAGGCTGTGCGGGAGCCTGAACTTCGCGATGGTGGTCTACCCGTCGGATCGGGTTTGGCTTTGACGGCTGTTCTGGTTCCTTCGGGGTCCCCCCTTCCGCCTCTCGCGATCGCAGAGTTCGACCCCCGGGGGCCTTGCGTCGGTTGCTGCGTCACCGGCTTCCTCTTCAGGTTTTTCGGGGTTCAGTGCCTTGGCGCCTACTCGAGCCCTCGCTCGATGTGTACACAGATGCGTCGTCTCTCGGCTGGGATTTTGTGACCAGTGCTCACCAGGCCGGCCAGGGGCGTTGGGATCCGTCCTTCCGTCGAGCTCACAGCACGGTGCGGGAGTTCACGGCAGTGTGGTTTACTCTGGGGAGGATTCGGGTGGCCCGCGGATCGACGATTCGGCTCCATTCGGACTGCTCTCTGGTGGTTCATTGCCTGAACCACGGGGGTTCGATGCGGTCCTTGTCTCTTTGGGGTTGGTCGCTTCGGGTGACTTGTCTGCCGAGTTCTCGGGGTTTGGCTCTCCTGGCGGTTCACGTACAGGGGGTGTCCAACATCTTGGCTGATGCCCTGTCTCGCTCCGTTCCCCTCTCCACGGAGTGGACGGTCGACGAAGAGTTCTTCCATTGGCTTTGCCAGACGTTCGAGCGCCCTGAGGTGGACCTCTTCGCGTCGGCGTGGTCGCCGCGTCTTCCAGTTTATGCGGCGCCCTTCCCCGATCGCGAGGCCGTTGGGGTCGATGCCTTTCGGCTAGACTGGTCGAGGTGGGGGTTCCTGTACTTCTTTCCCCCAGTTCGGCTGTTGCTCCAGGTCCTGACTCGCTTAGAGACTTACCAGAGGAGAATTGTCCTTCTGGCCCCTTGGTGGCCGGCCCAGCCTTGGTTTCAGGCGCTGGTTGCTCGGTGTCCGAACCCGAGGGTTTTCCTGCGGCTCTGCCTCTTTCAGCAGATCGGGCCGGTACGTCACGTGGCTGGATCGATCTTCTCCTCGAGTCTTCGCGTATGGGTTTTTTGACTCGAGTCAATCATCATCTCTATGGTGATCAGGTGGCCTCCTTGTTGGTGTCCCACCTGAGGGCTTCTTCTCGGCAGCAGTATGAAGTTTCCTGGCGGTCCTTCTGTTTCTTTTTGCGTCTTCGTCATGTTAGTTCCTTGTCTGTTCGGGTGGTCTTGTCCTTCCTCTCGTGGTTGTTTCAGGACCGTCATCTTATGCCTAACACTGTCGCCTCATATCGTGCGGCGCTGGCGGTGCCGCTTCCGCTTGCCTTCGGTATCAATGTTACGTCTGCGCTGTTTCGCAAGCTGTCTCGTGCATTGTTTCACCTCCGGCCTGCTCATGCATCGCCTGAGCCGTCCTGGTCTTTGGACAGAGTGCTCGCTTTCCTTTCGTCTCCTTATTTCGTTGTGGCCCCTTCGGTCCAGGATTGTTTTTCCAAGGCACTTTTCTTGTTGGCTTTGGCCTCTGGGAGTCGGGTAGGGGAGCTTCATGCTCTCCTCCGGCACAGGGGTTTCTGCTCTTTTGGTCGTGGTGATTGTTTTGTTCTGAGACTGAATGAGTCTGCTGCGTTCCGGAGGGGTCCATGGGTGGTTGATGCTTGGTTGGTCAGGCCGGGGGGGCATCATGTTTTGTGTCCGATTGCGGCGCTTCGCCGTTATTTGCGCGTCATGGCTTCTGTGTCCGGGGACACGCTGTGGGTTGATCCGGTTTCCCTTCTTCCCTGTTCGCGGGTTCGGGTCTCCCAGGTCGTCCGCAGGGTTATTAAGTCCAGCCAGCCTGCGGTCTATCCCTGTGCCCATGACGTTCGTAAGTTCGCGGCTCTTGCTACCGTCTTTGGGAATATGTCTTGGTCTGATATTTGGGCGTAGGGATTTTGGCGGTCGAACAGGGTCCTGTCTGCTCGTTACCTTGTGAATGTCTCTGGGCCCCGTCGGGCCTGTGTTGCTTTAAGTCGGCAGTTGCAGCCAGTTGTTTCGGCTTCGAGTTGAGGAGTGAGCGACAACCGCCTCCCGGGTAAGTCCCTCTTTTTCCATCTGTGGGTAGATAGCTCCGGGGAGCCGACGGGGCTCCCCCCAGAAAACCAGCGTTGAATGTAATGAAACGCCACTTTCTGGGTGAGTCCCGGAGGCTCCCCGGCATCCCTCCCTCCCTCCCTCCAGTCGGCGTTTTTTTCACTTTTTTGACATCCAGCCTCAAGAACTGAGGTGTGGGTAGCCGGCGTGGAGGGTCTGGGGCTCTCCCTTCCCCCTCTCGAGGAGGGGGGAGCTGCACAGACAGCGGCGCGGCGGCGTGTGACGTCACACTAGTTTGCTTGTTTTCTGTTGGGGAGTTCTATCCACTAGTTCGGCTTTTGGTAGCAATTTTAATCAGAATAGGGGTTTGTTTTGAGGCGCTTACCTTTCTGGGTGCCTGTTCCGGTCGAGGGCTTCTATAGGCCATTGCTCCCCTTGCCTCTCTGAGGAGGCCCGGTTCTGGCCGTGGTCCCCGGTAAGCCTAAGAACTCCATACACATGACTTATGCCAAAGTCTGACATTAGCATATCAGCCTGGGATAGCTCCGGGGAGCCTCTGGGACTCACCCAGGAAATGGCGTTTCATTACATTCAACGCTGGTTTTTTGGTTACAGGTTTTGTTTAGTAATACAGTATTATTAGGATAATAAAAAGTTATAAAAATGCAATGGGGCCTCGACTTACGATGCTAATCTGTTCCCAGAGACGGATCGTAAGTCGAAGCGATTTTTCCCATAAGAAATAAAGGGAATTGAATTAATCCGTTCTCCACCCTCCAAAATATTAACATACAAATACATTTTATACTGAATACAATTTTTTTCTAACTACAATACAGTACCAAAGTTTCTCTTACCTTTATGGAGGGCTCTTGATGGCGTATGGGAGATGGTGATGAGGGGGGAGGAGAAGAGTTGTTACTGTTTGGAAGGGGGAGTACCCTTCACATCAGGCAGTGATGTTTTCTCTGATGGTACTCTCTCTCCTACGTTTTGCCTAAATACCACTAGGACCTGGTTGTGGTCCAGTGCTTGTTTTTCTCACTACAAATTTGTCAAGAGACATTTGTTTTTCCCTTCGTTTTAACATTTGTCTGTAATGATGCATCACAGTGTCATTGAATAGGTTAAGGCAACGGCCTACTGCAGCTTGATTTGGGTGAGTCATTTCACCAAAGGTTTGCAAATCTTCCCATGCTGTACACATTTTCCTAATTGTTGAGGAAGAGACATTCTGTACTCTTGTTTCTGCTCTATGGTCATCCTTACATGGGTTTTCATGTTGAGCCTTACCACTGACTTTCCTGGGACTCCTGGCGTGATATATAATAATTACTTTAATGTTCAAAATGCAAAAAATCACCACAAAAGCGGAATTTCTTATAGGCGCGATCATCACTAAGCAGGCAGCTGTAGTAAACTGAGGCAGGTCGACCGCGTAACTGGGAACCACGCGCTCGGTCGACCTGAACGTGTACCAACAAATATCGGAAGTCGAAGACACCATCGGATGTCGAGTCGTATTTTTCGATGAAATTTACAACGTAACTCGAAATTATCGTAAGTAGGGATAATCGTATGTCGAGGTGCCACTGTACTTGTTTCATGAATGCTTTATTGTATTAGATGGAGATTCTCTGGCTGGCAATCTACTGAGCTAGACACTTTGGGGGGAAGGACGGCATCAGTAATGAGGGTGTACTCACATAGTTGTACCCACCTAGTTGTGCTTGCGGATTTAACACTGGCTCTTTGGTCCCGCCTCTCCTGAGGGAGAAGTGGATCAGGACTTCTCCTGTTGGTGAGTGCAAACAAAATGCTGTCGCATTATGCTATGAACCTGTCGATTTCTTTCCCTTAGATTTTTTAATTGTATTTTCTTCATTTTCCTCCATTTCTCGTTACGAACTTACACGATAACCAACGGGTCTTGTCACCCAGGGGTTTGGAAACCAAGTCAGGTTTCATGCATGCTAGGTATAAAGGGCAAGAAGGCAGGGCATAATGTACTAGATCTCACTCCCATATAGTCACAGATAGGTAAGTACATTGTATCTTGCCCTATCACATACTCAAATCATCAAATTGCCACCCACCACGTTAGATTTCCACCCATTAGCATTTATTTTAGATATTAACATTTTGTATATTTTTCAGGATGAATTATTCAAGATTTTTAACGAGAACATCTAAAAACCGTCAGCCGTCTTTGATTCGTGAATTAAGTAAGTTACTGTACACTAAATTTGCTTGTGCATGTTTTTTTAGTTTCCCCAAAAAGTTTGACATTTTGGGGATGACCTGTTCATACCTTCTCAATGCTTAAGGCTCAGGTACCACAGAGAAATAGATGCTCACAGACCCCTGAACTTTCACAGGCTACCATAGACTAGTATCAGAATGTGGTTTGCTCATGAAGTACTGTATGAGCTCGCTTATTTGAATTATATGGGAAGGCCCCCCCCCTTGCTGGATAAACCAGACATGTGGATAAGCAGAATGCTTACCAGGGAAGTTCAAAAAGTTAACATATTCACAATTTTTTGTACCACAACCAACATAATTTGAATTACCACACACAGACTATAATTATATAGTATTTAAGTACAGTACTATAATTAATTTTAAACAGAAACTTCAGCTTTCCTGGTTGTAGGGTGTAGTTCGTCTTCTTGATTGATGCTGCATACAGTACTGTACAGTATCTTCAAATCAAGAATTCTTGAAAATTTACCTAACTTAACCTAACACAACACTAAAATTACTGTACAGTACATGAGCTTAGCAAGGTGATTTTTGACTTCCAGCTGTTGAAGCTTCACTGGTTGAAGGCTCTTGGCTTGCTTGTGAGGCTTCACTGGTTGAAGGTCATTGGATTGCAATTGAGGTATCACTGGTTGAAGATCCTTGGATTCCTTGTGAGACTTCAGTGGTTGAAGGGCCTTTAGTTGCTGTTCTTACTAAATAAGAATCAAGTTTAGCTTGCCTCCTGTGTTCACTAGCCTCTCTTATGATCAGCTCTTTGCCTAACTTCAGGTACTGATATATGTTTTCAACTTCTGGATTAGCACAGTTGTATGAAAACTTAATTAGCATGTCAATAGAAGACATGAGTAAACTCTGTTGTCTGTGTTGTTGGTTCCTCATTGTTATCTCAATTCTCCCTCTTCATCCACCTTGCCAGTAACAGATTGGAGAATCTTCTTTGCTCATCACAACATATCCTGGGCTGTTGGCATCTCTTTCTAGCCATTCAACCACATCCTGTCTTTTTAAATTTTCAGCATTTCTGAAAAACTGCCGAATAACCCAAAGATTTGGAAAAGCTGGTTTCGGAAAATCGAGCTTATATAGTACAGTACTGTATAGGAAAAGATGGGGATCAGAGATAAACCCCAAGACTGAGAAAACCCCCAGAATTTGCAGTACTGTACTGGTAAAACAAAAACGAACAGCTGCTTTTAACAAAAATTATATCTTGGGAAATGAGGTTGGCTGCTGGTAAATAACTCTTGCTCAACTTGTCCGAACTGCCTCCAGATGATAGCCTAGGTCACCTGGGGTCACAGTTGGCCCACATACCCACTCCTAAGTTTGACTCCAGTCCTGTTCAGGGATTATTTTCTCATGTATTTGCTACCTGTCTTGCATGTTCCTAGCTGCTTATATTTCTCTGACCTAGTATAAAGGTTGTCTTCCCAGGTGTCTACTTGCATTTCCTTTCCCTATCAGAAAGACCTCTGTGGGACATAGGTGTCCTCCTAAATGGGGTGGAGCCTTTCAGTTTACACTGCAGCTGAGTACGGCTTAGGATTTAGTCCACAAAGTCTTGCCTGTCCATGGTGAGTTTAGTAACTATCTACAGTGGAACCTCTATTAACGAGTGGCTCTATTAACGAGTTTTTCCAGTAACGAGCAAGCCACTCGCAGCAAATTTGTCTCTATTGACGAGCTCGCCTCTATTAACGAGTGAAACCACATGGCGCTTCCTAGCGTCTCGCAGGTTCTCGCAAATTCTCGGATGCCTCCGACGCCAGTGTTGTTGTATCTCACACGACAAGCATCCCTCTGGATTTATTTGAGCTTTTCTTTGGGTTTTTAGTGGTTTTGCGACTACAATTTGTAACACACAATGTCTCCAAAGAAGCTACTTGCTAAAGATAGTGTTGTCAAGAGGAAGAAAGACACAATTACTGTGGATTTAAAGAAGGAAATTATAGCAAAGCATGAGTGTGGTGTCTGTGTGATTGATCTCACAAGGAAGTATGGCAGGTCCTCATCAACAATTTACACCTTTAGTAAGGGAATGAGGAGGTAAGGGAGGATGCTGCCTCTTCCACTGAGATCAGGGAAGTGTTTGGAATGTTTGAAAAGGTGAACGCATTCTTGGAAAAGCTGCCCTGATAAAGCAGTGACAACCTGGTGTGTGAAAATGTTTGATTAATTTATCACTTTGTGATAACACTTTATGAAAGTGTTATCACTTTCGCAGGTATATGTCGCTTGAATGTAACACACTTTTTTTCTCTTGAATGCACCCAAACACCGCTCTCAAGCGTCATTTGAGCAAATATTTCTATAAAATCCAATTCTTATCCGATCGAGATGGGGATTGTATACATGTTTGCCATGAAATTTCCGTTTTCTTTAATAACCACATTGCCTATTTGAGAAAACGGCATTGTATTGTATCTTCGTGGTAAGACTATTATATTGTTGACACAACGAGTGTAATCAACGTAGTTTTTTATTTGGTGCTGGTCTAACGCATCCTTGTGTGACATTTGAAATGAAATTTGGGTGAAATTCCCAAGAAGAGAGAGTCCGCTTGACTCAGAGGTGGATTCTCCTTCCACACCATAACCCTTCTCATCCTTCCTACCTCCCCATCGTCTCCCTCAAGCCAGCAACTACTCTTTTTTTTTTTTTTTTTTTTTTTTTTTTTTTTTTTTTTTTGATATATACAAGAGTTGTTACATTCTTGTACAGCCACTAGTACGCGTAGCGTTTCGGGCAAGTCCTTAATCCTATGGTCCCTGGAATACGATCCCCTGCCGCGAAGAATCGTTTTTTCATCCAAGTACACATTTTACTGTTGCGTTAAACAGAGGCTACAGTTAAGGAATTGCGCCCAGTAAATCCTCCCCGGCCAGGATACGAACCCATGACATAGCGCTCGCGGAACGCCAGGCGAGTGTTTTACCACTACACCACGGAGACTGACAGACTGACGGAGACTCTTCATAAGGTAAAGTAAATATTAAAACACTACAACAAAACATTTATATTTACATGTGCAATATTATATTTACATAAAAAAAGTCATACAAGTATGGATGTTTTTGGGAGTGGAACGGATTAAATTTATTTCCTTTATTTTAAATGGGGAAATTTGTTTCCAAAGACGAGTTTTCCAGGTAACGAGCTCGGTGCCAGAACGGATTAAACTCGTTAATAGAGGTTCCACTGTATATGATAATGTGCATGTGGGGCCTGGTCCGGGCTTGTGTGGTGCCTTATGCCATCACGCACTTGTGCACTTGGGGTTCGTGAGGTGTGTACAGTGATTTTGTCTTTGCCATTGCATCATACATTATTCCTTGTAGCTTAATTGATAGTGTTCTGAGGTTTGATTACCAAGAATACTGGCCATGCATGCTCTTTGCACATCCACAAATTTGGCTCGAACAGCTGGTATCTGCTGCTTCTGTATGTTGTTTACCTTAGTCCTATATTGATCTAATGATGAGTCATGAGGAATTCTTTACAATTCTCTCTCTCCCCAGTTTATTTTTATGGTGTCAGTGTGTTTGGTTTTCAGTTGGAGTAGACTGGCCATGCAGTCTGGAGAGGAGGCTCAGCTATTAGAAAGCCCTGTTGGGTTGACCATTTCTATATTATTTTTACCTATACTATTTCATTTCATTCACCTAGGATGTATGGGGTCTCGAACTGTGGGCGGTTGGAAAACTGTCCGCGGTTCTGCCTCACACCCCCCAGCATGTAAGGCCGAAGCTCTATTGACTGGGTTATGAGTTGTCTTAAAAGGAAAGTTTCCAGAAGCAGCATCCTTCTGCCAAAATGGAATTTTCAACTTTCCCTGACTAGAAACAGCCTCATACCAGGAAAAGTAAAAAAATCCAGTTTGGCAGCAGGATGCTGCTTCCTGAAACTTTCCTTTTTAAGACTACTAATAGCCCATGGAATTTTCGACTTTCCCTGACAAGAAACGAGACCCATTGAATCCAAGTGAATGGAATGTTTATTTTCATGGTATTGTGGATGACAATTTATATCATTTAATTTCTGGGGTGAGCCCCTTCGACTTCCCGGAGCTATCCAGGCTGATATGGATATCCCTAACTTTGGCATCAGTCGATGTGGATAGAGTTCTAGGCCTACCACGGACCACGAGCCAGAACCTGGCCCCCTCAGAGAGGCACGAGGAGCAATGGCCTATAGAAATGCACATGTGATTTTGGAGCATTCTATATCTACCATCGACTAGGACAGGCATCCAGAAAGGTAAGCTCCACAAAACAAACCCCTATTCTGGTTTAAAACGGCAAAATTTGATAAACGAGTGTACATAACTCCCAATTGAAAATGAGCAAAACAAGCATGACGTCACACGAGCCGCACCACATGTCTTCGCAGCTTCCCCCTCCCCGGGAGGGGGAAGGGGGAGCCCCAGAACCCTGTGCTGGCAATCATGGAGGTAAGATGGAGGTAGCAGGAAGGGTCCAGTGGTGGGATGGGGGTTAGTGGGGAGGGTGCAATGTGGGGGATGGAGATTCTCCCCTATCCATCCCTCCAGTTCTCCCCCCCCCACCATCCCTCCAGTTCCCCACCCTCCATCCAGTCCCCTCACTATCCATCCATACAGTGCCCTCACTATCCATCCAGTGCCCTCACCATTCATTCATCTATCCATCCAGTGCCCCCACCATCCATCCAGTCCCCCCTCCTCCATCCATCCAGTCCCCCCTCCTCCATCCATCCAGTCCCCCCCTCCTCCATGCATCCAGTCCCCCCTCCTCCATCCATCCAGTGCCCCCACCATCCATCTGTCCAGTTCCCCCACCATCCATCCATCTAGTCCCTCCTACTATCCCTCCAGTCCCCCCACCATCCATCCATCCAGTCCCCCCACCATCCATCCATCCAGTCCCCCCACCATCCATCCATCCAGTCCCACCATCCATCCATCCATCCAGTCCCCCCA